CGAGTTGAAATACCCGGACAGACGAACACACACACACACACACACACACACACACACACAAACACACACACACATACTCACACAGACGGGGTCGCCCCAATATGCGTTTTTGCAATTTGCATATAGACAAAAACGCATAAAAAGTCACGATTGTTTCAAATACGGCGACTTCGGTTTTGATAGTCAAATGTGCCAGAACATTTGATGCTGCGGACAAAATGTTAGCCATTTGAAGTTAATGACTGTTTCTATTTTTCATAAGCTATAAATCATCTGACGCTTTTTGTACCAAGCACTATCGTTTACCACGCATTTATGAGCCCTTTACTCTGATGCCCCACACAGTTGTATTTACAATACATACACAAACAAACATGGACGATTTCTCGGCAATATCCTCTTCTGCACTTGCACGACGTGTAGGAAACATAAAAACCTTTGTGCTGCAAAGCAAAAATCCCTGAAAATAAAATTGGTAATTGCTAACATTTGCTTCTGGACACCAGTATCCAGCCAACGAGCACTCCATCTTTTCATCCGGTATTGACTGAAGTGAAAATTGTCCGATCACCGCTTCGGCATGCATAGTTACAGGTTGTTGAAAGTCATGTTGCTTGAAAATCATATCGTTGAAGGTTTCGGCTAGTGCAGGCGTTTCTCTGGCCAATTCCGAAACATACAAATCTTCGTTTGTTGGCACAGACAGACTGAATTGTGATGCGAACATTTGGTCGTCAAGCAAACATCCAGGGTAGATCGAGCGAAGTGAGCTACCTCCACCAACATCACTACGCTCCGAAAATGCATCTCTCTGAAAGTAGAAGCCACGCTCGGACGCACTAGGCTTGCTAGTGCGATTATGCATTTTTTCACTAGGCTTGAGGTACTCAAGACACTAACTGCATGAATGCTTGTTGCTTTACACCTACCCTTTTTGCTCACTAGCGTAAACCACTATAAATTTTGCATAAAGCAGATGTAAAATTTCCATTTAAAGACCATTCTTTGAATGTAACGCAGCTGTTCAGCGAGCAGTTTTCTCATCAAAACGTCCACATTCCCGTGTACGGGTACCCCACGCGCCTGGTGAGCTGAATTTTAAATATTTAAGTTATACTTGGACGGGGGACATTCTCCCTAAATTTTGGTTTCCTAGCTTTCCTGTTTCCCGAGTTAGTAATTTTTTCGCCAAAACTTTCAAACCCTTTAAATGATTACCACGCACGCCCGGGGGCCGAGTTTGAAATCTCTAGCTCATAAATGCACAGGGAATATTCCTCCAAAGTTTCAGCCCCTTACCTTGTCTGGTTCCTGAGATCACTTTCCTACCCAAAAATTTGTATATTTCTTCAAGGCGTCCGTGCACGGCATTCAGGCATACGCGGGGATGATATTAAAACGGGAAGGTCGTGAATGGTACGGGCACATACTCCTTAAGTTTCAGCCTTCTAGCTTTTCTAGTTCTCGAGTTGAAAATGGGTGACGAAATGTTCGAACACACAGACACACATGCACATACCCACCCAGACAGCCTCTTAGCAAAAAGTGTTTTTGCAATTTGCACATATGGAAAAAGACATATAAAATCGTGACTCTTCCAGGCACAGCGACTTCGGTTTTGATAGCCAAATGTGTCAAAATGTCTGATGTTGTGGACAAAATATTAGTCATTTGGAGTTAATGAATGTTTCTATCATTCACAAGCTGTAAATCTTTTCACGCGCCTTATGAGCCTTAGCTTTGACTCCCTGTACGCTTATATTAATACTTACAGTACAAACATATATGTAGGCGCATAACAAACACAGGCATTAAGCACGGTGCTATTTTTATGCATATTGTGCTGTGTAACAGCAGTAAAAAGTTGGCCAACGCACGGGCTGCCCGTGCGAAGATGCGTTTTTTGCAGAGTTCCCCGCAATTTTTGTCA